TCGAGGGGGCTGTTGAGTGTCGTGGCGGAGGTAAAACTCGGGGTGGAGGTGTGGGGGGTAAAATGCAGCCAGCTAATTAAAGGATACCTGTCCCTAGCGGTGTCAATAGTCTTCGCTGAGGCGCACCAATTAGTAGATAATTTGCTAATTACTGATTTATTCATTTTAAACGACAAACTGAGCACCAGTCAGCAGGCGGATAATAATAATGACCACCAAGTATAAACAGGTACTTTGTGTTTCAGTGAATTTATCAGTGGCAGTATTTGGCAACATGAGAATAATATTTCAAAGACATCAAAGATAAATGTTAAATATGTCCTCCAAATAGATAAACATACGTGGAGAGAGAGAGACTGGGGTCACCACACTAGTGTTAACTGGAGAGGAGGAAAACTGAAGCTTTAATTCCAGCATTATATAATTATCAGGGAGTTTTGGTTCAATACTACAACTGTAACTCTTCAAAGGAGTAGTTTAGTGTTTTAAGAACGTGTGTATCAAAGAACAACGCATAATCACACGAACATATAGACGAAGTTACATACACACCAATACAAGTAATACACATATGCATGTAACCACACACACACACACACACACACACACATACATACATACATACATACACAAAAGTAGTCAAACAAAAGCCTAAGGGTTGATCAGTATTGCGGTACATTATCATTACAGATTCACAACCGAAATATTCCCCGATGCATTATTACACAATCTTACCCAACGTCAGGAAGCCTCGGTCACAACCTGTAATCATAAGGTCTTATTCAAACCAGCGAAATTACACAGATAATGTCAAGATTCAACTGACTTAGTATTTTGTCTACTGTCTACAAGCAATTATCGCATCACCCTTAAGTATTACGCCATATATATTACGTATTATAATAAGCAGTTTAATAATGGATAGATGCCAAGCCAGTGATCGTGCGTGTCAATTCTGGTAGGTGATCTTGCCAGCTGTACCGTAAAGATCACACTACATACGCCGTCACTCGTCGGCTGGCAATACGAGTCCAAAATGCAGACTAAGTATAACGAGGGTATAATGAACTATAAATAACCAGTAAGTTGGTGATGGACGGAGCATTATAGCGTCACCCACGTCATTGTACTCCACTGAAAAAAACGACTGGAAAAAAAGAAAATGACTGCATAATGGGATTGAGTTGATCGCTGGTCTATAAAAGAGATAACAGAGAGGCTAGTTGCAGCCAGATCTAATTTTTAGATATTACCGGACGATTAGTATACTTACACGTACAAATTAACGTCAGTAACTGGCGGTAATCCGGTTTTATCGCTCAACGGGAAAATGATAAGTGCGACCGGGACCAACTTACTCTCGGGGGTCAGCTATGGTGCCACACTTTAACTATCTCGCTTCTTTTTTATGTGTGATGAATAAAGAAGTGGACTCCCACAGTTTTATCCTATTATTAATCATATGATTTTATTTCGTATGTATGAATATGCGTGTGGAGATAACAATCGTATAAATTCCGTTTTCGATGAGAATGATAATAAACTCGACAGTCCATATATAATGAGGTTTACCGGGGTGTCTCATATATCGATCAGATCAGATGAATAAGTAAGTATGTCTCAATTATGCCATGCATGTTGAAAGAGGTCCACCAGTAACCAGCACACAGATCAGACATGTATTTAGTGAAAGTCGCTGAGAAATCTGGTTTAGTTACCACAGAGTCTCTAACAGTCTTGATATTATCTGGTCTAAATTTTGTCTCTCAAGTAAATATTGCCAACTGGGGCAACTGATTTCGCAAGATTTTCTTTTTATTTTAAATTAATCTTAATACCAGATCATTTAACAAGTAATCTCTCTTGCTATGAAATAATGTGATTCTCGTAGATGTTTCTGTTAACAGCACAATACAAAATATCACGAGCACGCTATAAATATTCCACACAGCCCAACACAAATATTTCTTTATGATGTGAAGATCGTCCCCACCAGCCATTGGACACAGTAATGTATAATCATAGTGCTGTTAATGCTGGACTTTACCTTGTGAACAGATGCTCCCTCCTCTCTCGTTACACCTATTCCTGGTACGTCTTCACTTCCATCAAATAAACTTTCACAGCCAGTCGATTGGTACCTGTTACATTGTTTACTTATTAATATCTATTTGTACTGATAATCAATTGATATAATTTGATATTGTTTCCCGATCGATTTTCATTGCAATGTTACAAAATAATACATATTTATAATCACTGATTGATACCTGTGTGTAATGAACTTTCACTGGTACTTACTTGAATTTATCACATTAAGAATATCGTAACATTGGATACCTGTTGTGTTCCTCAGTACAACACAGGATCAGTGTCGAATTTCATTCTCTCAATGCTCAGGTGTTTATAAACTTTCTCGGCTTCATGAACTGTTCGGGGCAAATTAGCTCATTACATTTTGGGGGAAACAATAATATTTTAATTTATAATAATTAAAAGATATTTATTAAAATTTATGTAATAAGTAAAAGATTCGTCTTTTCAAAACAATAACGTGTGGTTAATAAGAAGGTTTTTTTCTTTTTATGTACCCTGTATTTTCGTGTGATTTTGAACAATAACATTTTCCCAGTAAACTTGAACATTACTTATAAATTAAATGAAACACCCAGCTGCACAACTGCTGCCGCTCCCTGGCTGGGGTTTTCGATTAACAGTACTTGTTAACGTATAAGTATATGAAATTATACAAAGGTAAATAGGATTAAGCAACAGTAACCAACAGAACATAATATACTGTTAACGGGGAAACAGTAGCCAGAAAATTACAACATAATTCAATGCACTTATGTAAAACAAATTATAGATAATTAAATATATTATTGTAAAATTCTGCAGAATTTGATAAATGTGTTTCAGGTGACATGAAGCAGCGTAGAGCAAACAATGAAAATATACAATTTTGTTCAATGCATCACAACTTCATATCATAAATGTGTTTGCCGGAAAATTTATATAAATTACAAATAAAATATTACCTTAATACAAAAAGACTTTGAGAGTTAGACAGACAGACACATGTAGACAGAGGTTGACCATTATCATGATAAGTCTCATAAATGTGTAAAGAAACGCATCAAAACTCCCTGACGTCATAGACCATAACGAAAAGCCGGTTTATAATTATTACTTAAGATAATGAGAAGTGTATCAATGTAAGTTGCTCCGGTAAAATTATTCAGAAAATATCTCATTAATTTATTAAAAGAAGAAATATATTATAACTTTATCTTTACAATAGCAATGACGTGAAAAATGAATGTTGGTCCCTTAGGCATGACGGTCTGATAGATATGCAACACACGGTATATAGTAAGTGTTCCGTACGTAAAGAGGCAGCGTGGCCGATACTGCATCGACTGCCTTCACTTCCACAGCTGTAGAGTAACATTATGACTCACATATGCCGTAATTAGAAGAAAAAATGAAGATCCATACTTGCGATAGGTGTGTTATCCAACGTTGCCACATTGATCACCACTGCGAATGGCTGTCAGGCATGTACAGCGTTGCCACCTTCCACCGTACACCAGGAACTGTGATCAAATGTAAATTAGTTTACGAGGAGGCTTCTTGCGGGCTGGCCTACAAGTTGGCCGGGTCTGGCAACATTAACCCACCTCCACCTCCTTGCTGGACTTCACCCCTTGTGCCCAGCGCTACAAACGTCAGAACCCATTACCTGGAGAAATGAATGTAATATCAGGACCTACTGTAATGGAAAACAAGCTATGAATGCGTAATGACATGTACATAGATAAGCGATAAATATCTTACTTACACCATCGGTGGTTGGCGGTGCTGGTCTAGACCTTACAGCCAGTTGGGAGTTTCATTACATGTAATAAATGTACTGATGTACTCTACGGTGGCCGCCCACGCCCCTAACACGCCCACTTGTCCAGGAGGGAAGGATGGGTTGATGGTGGCAGTGGTGATGGTAGTAATTATGATGTGGGGTGGTAGTGGTGGTTGTGCTGGTCGAGGTAGTGGTGTAGTGATGTTAGTGGTAGTTATTATTATGATGGGGAGGGGGTGTAGTGGTAGGCGTGATGGTGGTGATAGGAAGTAAGAGGGTGGTGGTGGTTGTGTTTGTGGAGCTGGTAGGAGATATGAAGGAAGGGGGCAGTGGTGGTTGTTGTGATGGTGGTGGTCTTGGTGAAGAGGCGTTGGTGGTGGTAGTGGTGGAAGTAATGGTGATAGTGACAGGGGTGGTGGGGGTAATGGTAATTATTATATGGCACTGGTGGTGGTGGTGGGAGACGTTATGGTGGTAATGGTGACGTTTGTGGTAGTGTTGATGGTGGTGGTAGTGTTCGTGTTAGTGGTTTGTATTTGATATTTTCAGTATATACATATAGTCACCATGACAACTAGACCTGCATTTTTTTGTAGGGGGGGGGGGGAGGGTTCAAGGGCATAGTTCAGGTTACAGTTTTGGAGAGGGTTTCACCCCATGTGAATTAGCCCCTCACTCGAGCGTAGTCCAGTTCTTATTTGTTTTCTCTTTATTTTTACTGGTTTTCTCTATTGATTGTAATTCTTGCTTTAATGTTTATTGCTATTTGTTATTGCTGTTATTGTTTTTGTTGTTGTTGATGTTGTTCAATTGTTGCTTTTGTTCTTGTTGTCAGTGAGGGTTTCGTTAATGTTGTTGTTATTGTTGTGGTCTTTTGATAGTTAGTGTCGTAATTGTTGCCGATTTCACTGTTTATTTTGCTGTTTTCGTTGTCGTTGTTGTGAGTAACCTATATGAGGGAGATGTTGATGATGTGTCTGCCAAATACTGCGGGTTTTTACCCATCTACTGTACTGTATATATCTACTACACTGCATATCTCCGTATCTACCACATTGTATATACGAGTATCTGCTGTACTGTTTTAGTATCAACAGTGTGTCATAATGTCTAATAATTCAAAGAACTTTTCACATTACAGATGTGACGATGCTGTCAGCAATGGAAACTGCTGTCAAGTGTGAAGTGGACCTCCCCCTCAACCTCAAGACTCATGTGAGTACCCACTCTTGAACACCAGTGTGATTGATAGCTTCAGATGCCCGCGTTAGCGTGTAATGTATAAATCTTGAAGATGGCATCATTCAAGCTATAACTTGTACACTTGCTTTGGTCGTATGAGTTCACGTAACATAGGGAATAGTTAAGATCCATCGGACTATTTCGTATATGAACGCGAGTAGTGGGATGTGGGGAAGCTGAAACAAGGTTGAGTTTTAAACCTGACCTGGAGTTAGTGAGCGTCTTGATTATGACTGAATAAGTAAATTGCGTTTGAGTGTTCTGAAACGGACGGTAATATGTTCAACACATCTTCAGTATAAGTTACTTGGTCTAAAGGATGAAACGTATTTTTAGACGTTGAAGAAATCACATGTGAATAATCAAACCCTCGATCATTTCATTGCTTCTTTTGTAAGTTTCGTATAATTCCGGGTTTTATGGTTGATATAGTAATTAATTTTTTTTGGGGGGGGGAGGTGATCAGGATGCTTTAATCAGTGTGCACCTGTGTATAGTGGCCATTGATCAGTAAAATTTATCACCTCTCGTGTCCTGCTTGTAGGGGTCTAAGAGATGGAGCAGTGAAATAGGGTGAGGAGGAGGGGAAGGTGGTAAAGTTAAAGAGAGTGAGAGTGGAGAGAACGACAGTGAGAATGACAAAGAGAACGATGCTGAGGAGAGGGAGAAATGGAGAGACAAAAAATAAGGCGAGAGAAAGTCATGAAGGGATTACATGCTATATATCTTTAGTGACAAGGTTCCTTAAACATTCTTATGTCTCAGTGTAAAAAAAAAATTCTCAAGTACTCGTTCATAAGAGTACGACTTGCGAAGAGGTCGAGTATGTTGTGAAGTAGGTCGAGTATCTTGTGAAGGATGTCGGGATGTTGTGAAGGAGGTCGAGTATGTTGTGAAGGAGGTCGAGTATCTTGTGAAGGAGGTCGAGTATGTTGTGAAGGAGGTCGAGTATGTTGTGAAGGATGTCGAGATGTTGTGAAGGAGGTCGAGTATGTTGTGAAGGAGGTCGAGTATCTTGTGAAGGATGTCGAGTATGTTGTGAAGGAAGTTGAGTATGTCGTGAAGGAGGTCAATTACGTTGTATGGTGTAAATAAATTAATTAAAATAAGTATCAATAAGATATCAAGATCAGTTAGAAAATAGAACAATAATAAAATTCATAACTAAAGAGATTGGTGAATTAATTATATTTTATAAATCACAGGTAAATTAATGATCAAGAAGATGCCAAATCCATAGAATGTTAATTACTGTGGTAGTCATCAGTCACCTCCATTAACAAGTTACTTGCCAGGTCCGACAATGGTAAATTGATCCGATGACAAGTACCCAGCTCGGACCACGCTAGACACGTGGACACGCGCAGACTAATGACGAAGAGGCGAGGGACATGTGGACACGGTTGAGATATAAACTGAGAGAGCACTTGCGTGGGAGAGAAGATATGTACATTAGAGCTCTTGTGGACATGTGTGCATATATATTTGTATAATATATATTGAACTCTGGGTACGGTTTAAAGGCATGGTACTGAGGATATGGTGGAACAGTGTACTAAACGGACACGGTAAGGGCAAGTATGCTATGTAGGCTATTGGTGGACACGGACCATGCACAGGCATTATATAAAGGAAGGACATGTACGTACAGCCGGGCTATGGGCATATAGTATGGTATTAATAATTAGACCATTACGAGTTTATTGTCTGTTAATTTTATCTCTAATTGATTGATACGTTTATTGAGATACAACCATCTCTAATTAGTGCTCAGAGAACGTACCTAGTCAAGGTAGAGTTGCATGGGATCACCTGAAGATTAACATAACCAACTTATTTCACCTTAATATTAAGTACACTAACCTTTACCAAACCAAACCTACTATTAACCTAACCTAACCCAGGGAACTATAAGAAGTAAAATTAGAGTGACTATATTCTTTTGCAGGTTACTTTCTTGGTGGTCATCGCTTAAGTTGGCTGTTGGAGTAGCTAAAATCGTGAAAATAAAAGCGTTAAACAATAGACTGACACAGATTAAATTAACGAAAATAGATCCCGGAAAAAAAAAGATAAAAAAAAGAGGAAGGACAAACTGGGAATATAATGAAATATAGCAAAAGTGGTAAAATATAAAAGAACTTGGATATGTTCAATTAGCGAAAATAATTACTGAAATATAAAAACTACAGAGGGGTGACTGAAAATACAGCAAAGTACAAAAAACTCTAAAATATGGAAAGAACTTCAATATGCTGCGTTAACGAGAGCAGTTACTGAAATATGCAAATACAGAGGACTGATTGGAAACATACTAATATATATATATATATATATATATATATATATATATTATATATATAATCTGTATAGATAAAAAGGTTGATAAAATACGAAAAAATAGGACGAAAACCACGTGTATGCTGAGAGGCAGGAAAAATATTGAAATACGAAAAAGATATAGTAAAAAAAGGGAAATCTTTCATAAGCAAAATGTAAAAATATATAGCGAGGCCTGGGGAATTATCCAATATAGGGAAAACTTAGGGAAAATAGAGTAAGGTTTAGCAAAAACTGCGAATATAATTAGATAGGGGAAAAAATTACTTTAACATAGAAATGCATCACATTAATTGGCAGTGTAATGGAATGTAAATAATTGGCCCGTATCGAAATATAGAAATAAAAAAACAGGAGCACACATATAGAGTAAACATAGTATATTATATATATATATATATATATATATATATATATATATATATATATATATATATATATATATATATATATATATATATATATATATATATATATATATATATTTCATCTAGATCCACAACGGAAACGTGCACAGGATAAATCTCGTTAAAATCATAATGGAGCACCTTAGCTTTCGTCTTTATTCAAGACATCTTCAGTTGCTTTAACCCCTTGAGTACATTGGGTTAATTCCTTGAGTTCGATGACAACCCATTGATTAAGATGACAAGACCTTGAGTCATCGTACTCAAGGAATTGAGAACCTTTCCTAACCATGACTCTTTATTGATCTAGAAAAGGAAAATATCGCACAAGATCACCGAGATAAATCAAGGACTATCGTACAAGGAATCGAACCCTGGGGCTGCTGGTGTGTGGGCGAGGATGGTGACACTCTAAGGCGGCCAATCAAGTTTTTGGTATGGTACAAATGGTCGAAGATAACGTTATGATATCGGAACATTAACATCTGGTGGCTAGAAACGAAATTCCCTTGTTATTTATTGGTAAGTTCAACCTTTCGTCATAATTTTCCTGTATTTTAACTTTACGATATCGAAACATCAATAACTATGGGGATATCTTAACCTAACTTAACCTTAACCACCTGGATGATAACGGCGTGGTATTGTAACCTTAATCACCTCGAGTAAAACAAAAACAGTGAGAAGTCTTGAGTCAAACTAAGACACTTGGAACAATAATGACGGAGGAAAGATGAAATGTGAAATGAAAGGATCGAAGACGTTGAAAACTTAACTCAATACTAATTCATATATTAAATAAAATTAAGGAAAAGGTAATTATTATAGCTCAACACTTATCCATATACACGAATTACAATCAATGAAAAATTTATTATGTTTGAGTTAGTATAGATGGGGGTCGATATATGAATTATTTACTGTGGTGTTTATGAGGAAAAGATACTACGCTTGTGTTGAGGCTGTACACGTTGAGGAGTACTTTAAGCTCCCGGCGGGTAGTTCTTGTCTTGTTGCTTGGCCGAGGGAGCAGTGTCTAAAGTTCTGCCTCACTTGTGCAGTATTTCTCTCCTGCCGTCCTGGGGAGAGAACTAGAGGATCCATGCTTTCCTTCCATCACACTTTCATTCCCTCCATCCTTCCATTCAACCCTCCCTCCATTCTTCCCTCCATCCATCCTTCCCTCCATCCTTCCCTCCATCTTTCCCTCCATCCCTCCATGCATCTCTCCAGCAGCACTGAAGAAAAGACGCTTGATGTTTACGTTAATATTATAAGTTAAGTTAAGGTTAATATTTATGTGAACAAGTCATCGATGGAGGGAAGACCTTCAAAATGTTTTTAGTTCTGCTTTGTCGTCACTTAATCCTAAATATTTTCTGTTCAAAATATTCTTAAACGTTTGATATGTAAATTGATTTTTCTTAGAACGTTTGTATTTGTTTGTGTTAATCCAATTTTACACGTGTTAATATATAATACATCCGTCTTTGGAAACAATATAAAGTTATTTACTTTATCCTCACTACAATATCAATAATCCATACACGTAATTACGATTCAGTGCTCATCCGTAGACTACATGAGTCTCTGATAAAAAAAAATCAACGAATAGAAAACGTTTAATAGGAAGGCAGAATAAAACTGTCAGAGGTCAAGTAGAGTGAAGGAGAAGATGATGGAGGAAGGGAGGACACGTGGGAGGGAGAGAAGGCAGGTGAGAGGAAGAGTGGCAGAGTAGAGGGAGGGAAGGACAGGTGGGGAAGTGGAAAGGACAGGATGGAAGGGGAGAGAGAGAGAGAGAGAGAGAGAGAGTCGAGATGTAAACAGGAGGAAGAGGGTGGAGGGAGGATGAAGAGGAGGAGGGTTGTTGCGGGCGGCAGGAGGAGGAGAATGAGTGAGGTTTGTGGAGAACAGCAGGAGAGTGAAGGAGAAGGAGGGTGGTGGGGGCCGTAGGAGAGAGGAGTAGAGAGAGGAGGAGGGAGGAAGGGAGCACCAGGGAACACGACGTCATTATGGAGGCCTCTGGTGCCCGCCGGACCTTGCTGGTACACCCACAAAATGATGGACGTCTTGTTTCCTATTTTCTCTCCGGCTTATTGTCTACAGAATTATTGTGAGGCGAGCGGGGGCTGTGAGGCTCCTGGCTGGTCTGCTGAGAATGTGTTTTATTTACATTTAGTATTTGGCATTTGTTTACATTTATCATTATATATATATATATATTGTATCTGTTTACATTTGTATTTTT